CTCGTTTTCATATCACCTCCTTACTGTCAACACAGGAGTCCTGCCTCATCTATAGTTTCAGTTCCCATAGCTTCAGTTACCAGTGGTCAATTATGCCATCTCCCACTGTCCTACCTGTGAATTTAATGGATCATATATTTCAAAGAGTTTCTAGCTTGTGTATAAGTTATCCTATTTTTGTTAGTAATGCCCCAAAGCATAACATCAGTAATGCAAAAGAGGTGCCAGGGTATAAATATGGAAAGACAGATTTCCTCTGGTACTATATAGCAGTCTTGCAGGAAATGTAGGAAAAGGCATAGTGTAGTGAATATATTGGATACCCATTGAGGATTTAGAACACATTCACCTAGAGAATGGGGCTTTTGGAGTCATGAACTATTGCTTTCATTCACCATCTGATTTATGATAAAAATCCTGCCACTTCTTTCATTTTGTTTTTCACATAGGTCTGTGCTTAGAATCTGTTTTGTTCCACTGGTGCATTTGTAAATCATGTTTTCAGTTTTAAATGCATCATGCAAGTTTCCATGTCTTATAGGTCGAGTTCATTATCTAGTCTGTTCCTATACACATTGTCTTCTATATTTCTATACACATTCTTCCAAGTGCTAGTATTAAAGGTGTTCGCCACCAACACCAGCCACATTCTCTTCTTTTTAATTGAATAACCAGCTCATGCCATTCCTTGACAAAATCCTGTTCAAGTTCATAAATGATACTGTTGAATTCATAGATTGCTTTTGAGTAAGAATTAATGCTCTTATCCAGAAAAATGATAATCTATTTTAAATATGGAGCAAATATGGGCCATTAAAAAGTCATATTCACAGCTGGCCATGGTGGTGCATGCCTTTTATCCCAGCACTCGGGAGGCAGAGGCAGAGGCAGGCAAATCTCTGTGAGTTCCAGGCTCTGGTATACAAGAGCTAGTTCCAAGACAGGTTCCAAACCCACAGAGAAACCCTGTCTCAAAAAACAAAAACAAAAATGCTCTTATCCAGTGGAGGGAAACACAAGAGAATCTTACCCGAGATTGAAATCTCTTGCAACTCACTGGATGATCGAATTCTGAAGCCCAGTCAGGCTGTGAAAATGGAATGAACACTGTTAGGACATTTTGGTACCTCCTACCACAGGAGAAATTGAAATGAAAAGAGCTTTAATGATCTAAGGTAGAGTCTTTGGCCAAGGTAACTGAGAACAGCTCTGGGAAGGCACAGCTAAACACACCATGCAGTCCTTCCAGCACCCTCTACTTACTGTTTTCAGTCCCAGATCCACCAAAGTGGTGGTGGACAGGGAGAAAATCTGCCTATTGTGTACAGTGCCAAGGTTCTGAGATCCATTGTGAGTCACCATGACTTTTTAACCAATCAGATCCCCGGATAAGGAGAAAAAAGTATAGAAAGTGAAGAGATTAAACTTTTCCTCTCCCTTCTTACCTTCTCTCGCAGATCAGTGCTGCTCCTTTGGGAAGCGGCTCCTCAATTATCTGGGGGAAAACATCCAGAGAACTTAAGATCATTAAAGCAACCTTGCTAATTATAAACAAATTAACTGAACTGATAAACACCAACCCTACTACACAACGGCAAGATGGGGGTTATCATTTAATTAGTAAAAAGTCGTTACACTCAAGTGATTGGCAACAAACACCCCTTTAAGTAGAGTGTTCTGGTTTCTAACCCAGCCCTGGACGGCTTGCAGATATAGCTGAAAACTATTGTCCTCAGGTCTGCAGTCTACAGCACAAACACCTTTACCTTTGGGTGTTCGTAAGGATTTCCTGAGATGGAATAAAAAGGTGTACTCAGGGACAGAGACCGCCTCTCTATGACGACTCACGCCCCTTCCACTCCTCACTGTGGTCTTCTCCACCCACCTCTGACTTAAGCCGTTTCTATTGGATTTATTCACTTCCTTGAAAGTTCTCCTCATTGGTGGGGCTGCTTCCCCTTCCTCCCCTGCCCCCCCCCCAGTCTCAAACAAGAGTTTTGGGGATAAGGAAAAGCACATGGTACTCACGGTATCAAGGGGGAAGGGCTCTTGAATCTCAAGTTAGCTGTATTCTGTGGCTGACAGGAAAGTTGTTGGCTATAGAATCACTTGTTTTCACAGGAGAGACACTAGATTTGTGTCCCAGGTCATTCTGCCATCATCCGCCTTTGAGAATTTCGGCTTTTTTTCCCCCTGAATTTTCTCTGCCTTTGAGAAAATCAGCATGTACTGTACTCCCGGAGTGCTAAGGCAGACTGCCCTTGTTTTATGCATGAGCTTAATTCCAGTTCTTACTGGAACTGGGGATTTTGAGGTCTCGCTGTGCACAGAGTGGGCCCCAGTTTACAAAGCCTTAGCCTGAAGTGGTGCTGCTGGTCTGGTGAGTCATGGTTCTATGTCACATCGAAGATCATGGAATCCGACAGCCTACAGACACAGCGACCTTCAGCCTGACTCCAGTGTTGCTGATGGCAGAGATGGCTATCTGTCCCCAGGCAAGAAATAGCATTTTCATTAATGCTGTAAGAGGCACTGATGGGAAGGTGAATTTCATGTCTAACTGGAACAAGAGTTAGGACACTAGCAGGAACATCCTGTGTTTTAAAGGGTGATTATATATGGCACGTATTGTGTGCGATTTCATTGCTAGTCTGTAGAAGTCCATACATAGTAAGACTGTTCCCTGGCTTTGTAAATCATCTTGCTATTTAAATGTTTCTCCACTTTACCTGGACTGGGTAAAGAACACAGTTTCAAACATAAGGCAATGTGTGACCATGTCCTATTGTTGCCATTTATAATGTTGTACTTAAGCCTGTCATATTGGCTTACTTGGGCCTTATTTTCTTATCCATAAATGATGAAAGTCATAGTCACACCCACCTTAGAGTCTGTTAAGAAAATCCCTGTTGCAAAAAGCCAGGTGGTGGTGATGCCCGCCTTTAATCCTGGCACTCAGGAACTCTGTGAGTTCAAGGCCAGCCTGGTCTACAGAGAGAATTCTAGGACAGCCAGGACTATTGCAGAGAGAAACCCTGTCTTAAAAATCCAGAGAGAGAGAGAGTGGGAGGGGAAATGCCTATCACAAAGTGTCTTATACTTACTACTAATATTTACTTGCTGAAAGATCTCTGTTTTCATCCTAACAACTGTGCCCTGCTCTTCCCCAGAAAGTTGCATCGTATGCTCTTAGCACCCTCTTAGTGCATGTGTCCTGTCTGAAGTTTTGAAAACCAAAGTACTCTGAGAAAGAATCCACTGCATCTCCGTGGAATTGTAACAGGCACTGGGGCCCTAAGAAGTTTGTTTAGTCACTGCCCACTATCACTAGGTGTCTTTTATCTCTTTCTTTGTTTTTGTCCCTCACTCAGCTCCCCGTGGAAAAGGATACATTAAGAGCTGCTTCCTCCTAAGTTTTTGGACTTTTGCATTTTCTATGGTCTACTTATATTCACTGGCTTCTACTTGACATGACTTCAATATCTGCTTCTGTATTTCCAGAATCTGGCACAGCTATAGACTGACTCATCTGCAAACATATGACAGCAACACCAATGTGTTTGGGGAAATCTGGAGAGAACACATTCTTATTTGGAATTCTGTATACTCTATTGATACTTTCACATCAGCCCACTTAGAAATGAAGAGTGTTCTATTCAACACAGGGAGTTAGAATCTGTGAGCATCATGAGTGGTACAAAGAAGATAGGTGCTCAGAAAAGCATCCGTTTGTACTGCAGTTAATGGTAGGTGGCGGCGGGGCAACACACCTCCTGGAGTCTCTGGACCACTTACAATGGGCCATAGGCTTCTGACTCGAGCATTGCCCTTCTCAGTTCCATGTGAAATATTAGAAACTTGGCAGCTATTATTAAACTACTGGGTTCTATTGGAAGTAGGTTCTGAGGCTAATTACTCCCAACAGCTATGAGCCTTTTGCTCTATGAGCAACACCGCACAAACTTGAAAGTTATGGGTGTTACCTGCTACACAATGCAGCCAAAGTGCAGACTACATTTAGAGAGGGGTAGCTGTCTCTGCCTTTAGCAACTTGTTAAATACCATAGTGCTAAAGAAACTTTTGGCTTAATAGGCTCTTGGGAATCAAGTAAGACATGGCCATCTTTAGAAAACTGTTACTGCTATGATACTGTCCAACAGCAAAGACAATGAGGTAGGGTGATACCCATTCGACTTTTACTCTACCTCAGAGCCTTCAAGTAAACATTGCCCATTTATTCATCATGGTCTTCACGTGATAACATTACCTGACATTCTCCATAGTGCTATTCAGCTACCATTCTCTATCAGAAAGAATCCACATGGCAAAAGGGACCATGTGCAAGTCGCAAATGATGCAGGAAGTCTCATGGCTATACAGAAGCCAGGAACTGTGCTATGTGCTGGCTTGGAAAGTGTTATGGATACACAAAAGCCAGTGGTTGTGGTATGGGCAAGGGTGGATGTCAAGCCCAGGCTTATCAACAATATACAGGCTAGCATCTCCATGTTACTCAAGCACTGAGCCAGAGAGACGGAAACAGAAAGCATGTACACCTCCCTGGTGGGTCACATTGTTACCTGTGAATGTTCCTTAGCTTCAGAGCAACTAGACATGCTCCCTGCTTATTGCAATTTAGGGTCAGGATGAAGAAACAACACCATGATGCGTGTGCTTCTCAATTTGCTTACAATGTGCTGGCTTGGGAATAAACAATATTCATATTAAAGGCAAAACAAGATCTTCCCAGGCCCAGAAAACTACAAGCAGGACCATGAAGAGTAGGTGACTATCGTAGCATTGGTAAGCCTTGGAAGGCAGGTTTTGCGTCTAGCTAAAAACAAAGCTCCCTTCTGAAATGAACTCAAACAACAGTATCCTTCCAAGACAGCCCAGTGCTGGGGAGGCTCTTATGAGGGCAGCATCTCTTTCTTAGGTCCTGTTTCCATCAATAAATTCTTGGGGAGTAGGGCTGTAAAACTTGCAGGTGGCTGAGCTATTAGTCTGTGTTGTGCATGGGGCTCAGAGAACCCTGGCCTTCCTTCTCTTCATCCTCCCTCTTGTGGATTTTCAAGTGTCTCAGCAGACTGGATTTGTGCTTATAGCTTTTCTGACAGTATTGGCAGACAAATGGTCTCTCTTCAGTGTGTCTCACTTGGTGTGCAATAACGTGGGACTGCCCTCTAAAGGATTTCCCACAGTAGGGGCACAGGTAAGGCCTGGAAACTACCTGAGCTCTCACATGTTCCTTCAGGCCCAACTTGTACATAAACTCCCTCTTACACAGCCTACATTGCTGCCTTTCTTCGTCAAAATAGGCTGCCTGTGGGCTGCTAACAGTTGCTGCCTGACTAAATGAATTGCTACACACAGCATGCTCATGGGTATCCTCCTCCTGGGAAATGAACTGGCTTCCATAGCGGTCTGAGCCACAGGAGGGCCCTGCCCTATTTCTGGGGCCCTCTCTCGCCACCCTTCCTGCACGACTTCCCACACGCCTATTATATTGCTGCTGGTGAGCAGAACACAGCCCTAACTGCTCAGGGGAGAAAGGCCTCACATAGGGACGAGCCTGTGGGGGGGCTCTAGGGTGGAGAGACCCCTGTGCTTCCTTGGAGGTCCCTGGCATCTCCCATTGGTCCTGGTTTTCTGGGGACTTCTGGGTTTCCTCAGGCACCTTGAATTCAGCCAGCAGCTGTTCTGGGGGTTCTTCACCAGGAGGTTCCAGATATTGATACTCTTTGGAGAAATGGAATGCTGGAAGCGAAGCAGAAAATGGGCTCATCACTTTGATGTATGCTGGCATATGTTCATCACCCCGCCCCCACATCAAAAGCTGAGAGAAGGAATGGAAATGATGGACATCACTGTGTTACATGGAGAATGCACGCTCAGAGGGTGGGCCGAAGCTCCCAAGTAACACCACTGACCTCCCCTACCTGTCTCTCGACTTTCTTCCCTGGCTTCTACTGAATCCCTTTCTTCCTGCCTGAGTGTGGGAATTGCCCTATGTCTGTGGAAGCCAGCAAGCCCCCCCCCTT